TGTTGACCAGGATGGTCTCGATCTCTTGACCTCGTGATCCACCCGCCTCGGCCTCCCAAAGTGCTGGGATTACAGGCTTGAGCCACCGCGCCCGGCCTATTTTTTTTTTTTACTAGAGACATGATCTTGCTATGTTACCCAGGCTGGTCTCAAACTCCGGGGCTCAAGTGATTCTCCTGCCTTGGTCTCCCAAAGTGATGGATCACAGGCATGAGCTACCACACTCTACCCAAGCTAGAATACTTTTGAGGAAAGCTGCATCCTCTACTACCCCAGTGAAGTGTCACAAAACCCACAAGCAGTTAAAAGCTCTGAAAACTTCTATGGTGAAGAAGCCAATCTAATCCAGTATTTCCCATACTGTGGTGGCTCAAGGATGCTTTCCTTGTGACATGCCTATTAAATCTTACAGAACGGCAACAGCAGCAGCTGGCATTTGCTTAGCATCTGCTATGTGCCAGGCACTCTACTGAGGACTCTCTCATTATCTCCATTTTACTGAGTCCCAGAAAGTTTAACAACTTGCCTGACATCTGAGAGTGAGATTCTGGGGAAGTAAGGATATGAGCCTGGGCAGCCTATGTCCAGGACCCCACTTCAAACCACCATGTCCTACAGCTTCCCAGCACACAAGCATGTGGCTGCAGGACAGCACACGTTGATCCAGGCTGTAAGCAGGGTTTTGAAAGCTTAAGTATGAATGCTGTATACATATTCTTTGCCTCTCAAACTCTTGCTACAGGAACACTATATATCCATCAAGTTTATACAATAAACCAGAATAAAATTCACTACTCTGCAGGACCTGGACTCACATTCAAAGATAAATTACTACCAAATAGGGTCTACAATTCAACTCAAACTCTGTATTTTGTGTTTCTCTGACACCTATTTATCGTATTAGAACTTTAAAATTTGACAGTGTTTAGAGGCATTTACATGGCACAATGAAGGCCAAATCATACCTTACATTTGATTTGTCATTCAGGTTGCTAAATTCAAGCAAAAATGTGGCCAAAAAAAGTTATCCAAGTCTAGAAATAAACCCTTACATTAATGGCCAATTAATTCTCAGCCAGAGTGTCAAGACAATTCAGCAGGGAAAAAAATAGTCTTTTCAATAAATGGAACTGGGACAACTGGATATCTACAAGGAAAAGAATGAAATTTGGCCCCTACCTCACACCATATACAAAAATTAACTCAAAATGGATCATAGACCTAAACGGAAGAGCTAAAACTAAAACTCTTAAAGAAAACACAGGAGCAAATCTTTGAGACCTTGAGTCAGCAAGGGCTTCTTGATATGACATAAAAATACAAGTGACAAAAGAAAAATACAGATAAATTGGACTATACCAAAAGTAAAAACATTTGTGTTTCTAAGGAAAAATTAAGAAAGTGAAACAACAGTCTACAGAGTGAGAGAATATATTTGTAAATCATGGATTTGATAAGAGACTTGTATCTAGAATATATAAATTACTCTTACACGTTAACAATGGAAAAAAGGCCAGGCACAGTGGCTCATGCCTGTAATCCCAGCAGAAAGCCAAGGCAGGAGGATCGCTAGAGGCCAGCAGTTCAAGACCAGCTGGGCAACACAGTGAGACTCTGTCTCTACAAAAAATAAAAGAAAGATAGTGGTATATTCAAAAGTAAGTTATCCTGTGCCTGACCCTATCCAAAAGTTAATGATAAAAAAAGACAACCCGACTGAAAAACTCAACAAAAGATCTGAATAAACATTTCTTTAAAGAAAATTTAAAATGGCCAATAAGCACATGAAAAGATGCTTGAGGCCAGGTATGGTGTTTCATACCTGTAATCCCAGCACTTGGCACGCCAAGTCAGGCAGATCACTTGAGCTCAGGAATTTGAGCCCAGCCTGGGCAACGTGGTGAGACACTGTCTCCACTAAAAACACCAAAAAATATAGCCAGGCATGGTGGTACTCCCTGTGGTCCCAGCTACTTGGGAGGTTGAAGTGGGAGGATCACTTGAGCCTGGGAGGTGGGGGAGTGGAAGAGGGGCAGGGGTTGCAGTGGACCACGATCACACCACTGCACTCCAGCCTGGGTGACAGAGCCAGACCCTGTCTAAAAAGAAAAAGATGTGGCCGGTGCAGTGGCTCACGCCTGTAATCCCAGCACTTTGGGAGGCCGAGGTGGGCAGATCACCTTAAGTCAGGAGTCTGAGACCAGGCTGGCTAACATGGCAAAACCCCGTTTCTACTAAAAATACAAAATAATTAGCCAGGCGTGGTACCACGGGCCTGTAATCCCAGCTACTCAGGAGGCCAAGGCAAGAGAACTGCTTGAACCTGGGAAGCGGAGGTTGCAGTGAGCAGAGATTGCGCCATTGCACCCCAGCTTGGGCAACGAGAGCAAAACTCTGTCTCAAAAAAAAAAAAAGAAAAAGATACTTGAGCATCATTAGCCATCAGAGAAATGCAAACCATAACCACAAAATCACTTCACAACCACCAGGATGGCTAAAGTGAAAAAGAAATTAACAAGTGTTACAAAGAGGTAGAGAAACTGGAACCTTTAAATGATGCTAGTGGGAAATGTGCAATGGTACAGTTGCTTTGGAAAACAGTTTGGCATTTCCTCAAAATATCAAACAGAATTATCCTACAGTCTAGCAATTCCATTCCTAGATATATTCCCAAAAGGACTGAAAACATCTGTAATCCCAGCACTTTTGGGGGCTGAGGCAGGAGGGCTGCTTGAGCCTAGGAGTTTGAGACCAGCCTAGGCAACATAGGGAGATCCTACCTCTACAAAAAAAGAAAAATTAGCTGGGTGTAGTAGTGTGCACCTGTGGCCACAGCTACTCCAGAGGCTGAGGCAGGAGGAGAGTTTCAGTCCAGGTGGTAGAGGCTGCAGTGAGCCATCATCACGCCACTGCACTCCAGCCTGGGTGACAGGGCAAGACTCTGTCTCAAAAAAAAAGAACTGAAAACAAGTTTCAAATAAATACTTACAAGAATGTTCATAGCAACACTATTCCTAATAGCTCAAAAGTGAAAACAGGCCGGGCGCGGTGGCTCACGCCTGTAATCCCAGCACTTTGGGAGGCCGAGGCGGGTGGATCACGAGGTCAAGAGATCGAGACCATCCTGATCAACATGGTGAAACCCCATCTCTACTAAAACTACAAAAAATTAGCTGGGCATGGTGGCGCGTGCCTGTAATCCTAGCTACTCAGGAGGCTGAGGCAGGAGAATTGCCTGAACCCAGGAGGCGGAGGTTGCGGAGAGCCGAGATCGCGCCATTGCACTCCAGTCTGGGTAACAAGAACGAAACTCCGTCTCAAAAAAAAAAAAAAAAGTGAAAACAGCCCAAACATTTATCAACTGATAAATAGATTGATACATGTTGTCTATCCATATATTAGATCCATACATATCCAATAGCTGGAATATTATTCAGCCATAAAAAGAGTAAGTATTGATAGATGCTACAACATGAATGAACCTTGAAAACATGTGCTAAATGAAAGACACCAGACCCAGAAAAACAAATATTCTATGATGTCATTTATATGATATCCCCAGAATAGGCAAATTCCTAAAGACAGAAAGTACAATAGTGATTGCCAGGGGTCAGAGGGGAGGGCAGGAACGCGAGTGACTGCTGATGGGTACAAGGTTTCTTTTGGGGGTGATGAAAAAGCTCTGAAATGGATATGGTGGGGCTGGGCGCTGTGGCTCATGCCTGTAATCCCAGCACTTTGGGAGGCTAAGGCAGGTGGATCATGAGGTCAGGAGTTTGAGACCAACCTGAACTACATGGTGAAACCCTGTCTTTACTAAAAATACAAATATCAGTTGGGTGTGGTGGCATGTGCCTGTAAACCCAGCTACTCGGGAGGCTGAGGCAGGAGAATCGCTTGAATCCAGGAGGCCAGGTTGCAGTGAGCTGAGACCTTGCCACTGTACTCCAGCCTGGGCAATAAGAGCAAAACTCCATCTCAAAAAAAATTGGACATGGTGATGGTTGCACAACTTTGCAAATGGTTTTGTGAAACCACTGGATTACATGCTTTAAATGGGTGGACTGGATGGTATGTTATTTATATGTCAGTAAGGCTTCTCAGGGAAGCACATCCTCTGTAATTGTTAATGGGTCACAGTGGCCTCTGTGTAACGGTCACTGAGTACGGGGCTTCAGTCCATAGAACTACTCATTTCGTCAGAACAAAACAGAAATATCTCAAGCAATACCATTCCTCTTTTCTTAAACGCCTTTTCTAAATGAGGTTTCCCGGCCAGGCGTGGTGGCTCAAGCCTGTAATCCCAGCACTTTGGGAGGCCGAGGCGGGTGGATCACGAGGTCAAGAGATCGAGACCATCCTGGTCAACATGGTGAAAGCCCGTCTCTACTAAAATACAAAACATTAGCTGGGCATGGTGGCGTGTGCCTGTAATCCCAGCTACTCAGGAGGTTGAGGCAGGAGAATTGCCTGAACCCGGGAGGCAGAGGTTGCGGTGAGCCGAGATCGCGCCATTGCACTCCAGCCTGAGTAACAAGAGTGAAACTCTGTCTCAAAAAAAATAAATAAATAAAAAATAAATGAGGTTTCCCACCGAACCTCTTTTCCTTCAGCTCTTTGGACGATCTACGATTGTCTTCACTTTGTGATTCTTTAATGTCTGCTCTGTCTGGACTGGAAGCTCCATGAGGGCAAGGACTATGGTTTGCTCATTACTGAATCCCTGGGGCCTGCAGTATCTAGCACAGTCAGTTCTGAGATATTTGCTGAATAAATGAGCTTTGAACACCCAGGGAACCAGACCAAATTAAACTGGGTATTTCCTCAAGTTCCTGGATCAAAACATCATAGCCTACAAATGGAGTCCATTTTTCATTTCTTGTATTTTTTTCCCAAGATGGAGTCCCGCTCTGTCGCCCAGCTTGGAGTGCAGTGGTGCGATCTCGGCTCACTGCAACCTCCGCCGACCGGGTTCAAGCGATTCTCCTGCCTCAGCCTCCCAAGTAGCTGGGACTATAGACGCACGTCACCACGCATGGCTAATTTTTTGTATTTTTAGTAGAAACAAGGATTCACCATGTTAGCCAGGATGGTCTCAATCTCCTGACCTTGTTATCCGCCTGCCTCAGCCTCCCAAAGTGCTGGGATTACAGGCATGAGCCACAGTACCCAGACCCCCCATATCCATTTCAGAGCTTTTTCGTCATCCCCAAAAGAAACCTACACACATTTATTTTGTACATCAATGGGAAGAGCTCTATATACATTTTTTGTTGTTGTTGAGACAGAGTCTTGCTCTGTCACCCGGGCTGGAGTGAGGTGGCACGATCTCAGCTCACTGCAACCTCGACCTTCCGGGTTCAAGAGATTCTCCTACCTCAGCCTCCCAAGTAGCTGGGACCATGGGTGTGTGTCACCACGCCCGGCTAATTTTTTGTATTATTAGTAGAGATGGGGTTTCACCATGTTAGCCAGGATGGTATCCATCTCCTGACCTTGTGATCTGCCTGCCTCGGCCTCCCAAAGTGCTGGGATTATAGGCGTGAGCCACCACGCCTTGCCTGGAGTCCATTTTACTCAGTGGTTTTCCCCAAATTCAGCAACGATGGGGCAAGTGCAGCCTTGTGCAGGGCCAAGGAACGAGAAAGGAGAAGGCAGAGAAGGGAAGAAGAAGGAAGGAGGTACAGGGCTGAGTGGGCCAGCCAGGCGGGGCCAGGAAGACAAACTTACTTTTGTAGATTGGCCATCTGCTTCACAGCTTCCACGGCCCCTGGCAGAGGCTCAAGTTCAAAAAAGAAATTCTTTGACTCCCAAATGCTGATGGCCTTCTCCTGGGAAGTTGAGAGAAACAAGTTACTTCTAGGGTCCTCAGCACCTTACTGCCCTCATCTCAGGGAGTATATCCAGGCTATGGGGGGAGGGGTTCCGCAGCATTCTCACTTCCCCAAGGACGTAACACACACCCAAGGACATATTTCCTGGGGGAAGTGCAGAGAGTGTGTGGGCTTCGAGCCCCTTTCCAGAAAGGGCCTGGCTTCTGTCGTGATCCAACAGAGACCAGCTAAAATGCCAGGGCTATGGAGCTCTCTGGGACCTGAGGCCAATTGTCAGAAACTACATGCTTGCTAGGCTGGATTCAAGTGGTCAAAAGCATTGTGGAGACTGAGGCTGGAACAGCTCTTGCTGTGGCAGTAGAGTCCTTAAACTTGAAAACTGGAGGGACTCAGAGATCTTTAAGGGCATTGTTGTGCCATGAGGGACAAGGGGGAGGAGGAGGCAGGGTAAAAGGACAATTCAGGGAGCTCCAGGTTCCTCCCCACATCAACCAGAAGAGCTCTGCTTTTATCTGTTTTATATGTTGAGGTGCCAATAAGTACATTAAAAAAAAAAAAAGGACTCTGCTGCTTTTAGAGTTGCAAAGCAAAAATGCAGACCCTCATTTTACTGATGAGAAAACTGAGGCTCAGAATGGGGGAGAGATCCACCTGATGTCACACAGCAAAACAGCAGCTGAGCTGGGAGGAGAACCTCCAACTCCTAACCCTCTCCTCCCCACTGCCCCACCCCCACTGCCTATCTCCTTTCCCCTTTCTGCTGATGGGCCAGAATGCAGCACCTTCTCTAGGGTCAGGCAAGGGGAATGTGACAACCAGAGGGGAGACACATCTCAGCCTACGAGAAGCAGGAGCCTCAATCCCGCATGTGCAGTGCAGGCAGTGCCTCCGCCAGGTCGTTCTGCACGCTATGAAAGACGCCACCGTGTCCCATGGATGACTGGAGGACGCTCTGAGAGCACACCAGCAACACGCTTAGGAACCACAGGGACTAGGCAAATGCGTGCTTATTACTGAAACACATTTGATCCTCACATCCCACATGGGGTACTGTGAAGTCTAAGGGAATACAGACAGAGCAGAATTTTGAAAACAGAAATGCCTACATACACAAAAGGAGCCACCTGCGGGGGTGTTGTTTTAACCACAGCTGTTGGGCCAGCTCGGCCAAGGGGAGGCCCAGGGATGTCTGCAGCAGCAAACTATCCTAAGGAAGGGAAGTAGGGGAAGCCAGCAGACTACTCCCAGGTCACCTTCCTTATTGCCATGTGCCTTTGCCTTGTGCTTGGAAACCAGTAACCCCGCACTTGCAGAACCTGCACATTTGCACAACGAACTGGAAAAGCCGCTGCACTTTTCAGAGTTGGGGGTGGGCTTGGTTTCCACGATAATACACTCCTGGGCAGATGTACAGTGCCCAGACTCCTGATGCCAAGCGCTGCCTATACATGAATGCTCACGGCACACTGGGGCCTATTCCTGAGGCTGCAGAAAGTACTAGGATGTTTTCTCCAGTTTAAAGCTCATCATTAGGCATTGGCCATGGAAGAGCTCAGCACACTGGGCTCTGGGAAAGTCAACTTCTAAAAGGCCTGGTGTTGATGGAGACAAATGGCACTTGGTTTCCTTTTTAAAAACCTGTCGCTCAACAAACCACATGACTGACGAGGCATCATTTTGAAGTCAGAAGAAATGTCACTTGTTAGAGACAGCAGGACAGAGAACAGGACTCTGGAGTGGGGAGCTCTAACTGTGCTTGGGAGGCAGACAGACCTGGGTTTGAGTCCTGACTGAGCCCCTGAGCAGCATGTGACTTGGGCAAGTTTCCTCATCTGGAAATCAGAGATAATAATATCTACCCAACAAAAGAGAGGATGCAGTGAACTTGTGGCTAAAAAAAAGGGCTCTTGTAACTTCCTTCTCTTTATCAAATCCTCTGGCAGCAAGCCTAGGTGGCCATTCAAGGGATGCCAGAAAACACTCAGCCTCTTTAATTTTGTGCATGCCAAAATCCCCTGTTCCTTTTGCAAAATACTTCAAATTTACCAATCAAACTGTGTGTGTAAACGTCCCTCTTGGATCTTTCTTTCCCCTCTATCCACCCTGGACAGAATACCTCGGGAGTCAGAGGGGAGGGGTTGAGGTCCGGTGTTTAGGAAGGCCAAATCTGCAAGGGGATAAGACATGAGGCAGCCGGGCGGATGGCTCACGCCTGTAATCTCAAAACTTTGGGAAGTCGAGGAAGGCAGATCGCCTGAGGTCGGGAGTTCAAGACCAGCTTGGCCAACATGGAGAAACCCCATCTCTACTAAAAATACAAAATTAGCCAGGGGAGTTGGTGCATGCCTGTAATCCCAGCTACTTGAGAGGCTGAGGCAGGAGAATCACTTGAACCCGGGAGGCAGAAAATGCCGTGAGCCCAGATGGCACCACTGCACTCCACCCTGGGCAACAAGAGCAAAACTGTCTCAAAAAAAAAAAGACACGAGATGGATCCCACCTCACCTTGACCACTGACTCGCTGTGTGACCCCCAGAAAGTCACATAACCTCTCTGCGCCTCAAATACCACTGGAAGCTATGCTTTCACGGACAACGGCAAAAGAGATGGGTAAAGACACCCATAAAAGTCCTGAGGACGAGTAAGCGGGAATGTGATCGAGGTCTGGGTGAAAGAGGACAACTTACAACGTTTATTTTTCTAAAAATTTAACAAAGGACTTGAGGCCAAAATATACCACAAATCAACGTTAAAGTCAGCTTTAGATGGGGAGTCAGGTACATTAACACTTTGTACTCTCCCGCATTTTCAGAAGCCCTGGATGGCAGCCAACAGATCCCGAGCGCAGGGCTGCGTCTTCCCGGTGGCCTGTGGCCCCTGGTCCCCGCCCCCCCGACCTGACGCTATTCTACCAGAGGGCCACCGCAAGGCTGGGGCGCTGACCGTCCAAGGTCACCCGCGCAGGGGATGCCCTGGGCCACGGCCGGGAGGCGACCTCGTTCTCCCGCCGCAGCGGCGCGGGTCTGGGCCCGGGTCGGGAAGGGGGCCCGGCGCGGGGCCGGGCAGGGACGCTCACGCTCAGCCCTGGCCGCAGGCTGCCGTACTGCTCCGACACCCAGAAGCCGCGCCGGTCCTCCAGCGCGATGAAGGGCTGGTCGGGGAAGCGCGCGCGGAACTTCCTGAGGAATCCGCCCTCGAAGTCGGCCAGCACGCCATCCATGTCCACCAGCACCCGCAGGGCGCGGCCGCCCGCCAGGCCCGGCCTGCCCGCCGCCCCGCGCCGCCCCGCGGGAACCGCCGCGCCACGGGGCCGCAGCGCGCACCAGCTGCCCAGCCGGATCATGGCCCAGCGCGCCGGCCCACCGTGGGCGCGGGGACCTGGACCGCGCGGGGCTGCCGGGGCCGGCCGGTGGACATGACCGCGGCGGAGGACAAGCTCCCAACGCTTGGACGCGCGCGGGGCGCGGAGCTGGGAATGCGGGGCGCGGGCGCGCAGGTACCGGCCCCAGAGCGAGGCAGCGGCGCGCGCGGCCCTTAAAGGGACCAGCTCCGGAGGAGGCGGAGCCTGGGGGCGGGGCTTGGAGGACCGAGAGCCCTGGGCCCCCGGCGCTTCTGGAAGGTCCGCGTTCCCGCGCTCTCCATTGGCGTCTTCTCCCTGGACCCTGGACGCGGACTGCCTTCTCCCACTGCACAGGGGAGCACGGAGGAGCAGTGCAAATCGAGGAGCGGGCCTGTGTCGTTAGACATTTCTGAGCACTTACTGTGTCGCGTGTGAACCAAATAGACAAGGTTCCTGCCATCCTGGAACTTACGTTTTAGAAGAGGAGCCAGACAACAGCATGGAGAAACCAAAACGGGGTGATGTGTACTCTGAAAACCTCTCTGCTTTATTTACAGCAAGTGCCTGCGGAGACACTGATAGAACCAGTAACGTGCTAACATCTAATAGCCTTAGTAAAAATGATTCTCAAGTAAATATAGGAATATGTATTGTATATTATGTACCCCTGTATAGTCTGCTTTTTTTTTTTGAGACAAGTTCTTGCTCTGTTGCCCAGGCTGGAAGCAGTGGTATGATCCCGGTTCACTGCAGCCTCGACTTCCTGGGCCCAAGGGATCCTCCTGCTTCTGCCTCATGAGTAGCTGGGACCACAGGAGCATGCCACCACACCCTGGTAATTTTTTTTTTTTTTTTTTTTTTTTAGGATTGGGCTCAAGCAATCCTCCCAGCTCAGCCTCCCAAAGTGCTAGGATAACAAGAGTTAACAAGAGTGTGGTACCACCATGCCCAGCCCACTTTTATTCTTTACAAGAAAAAACAAAACAAAACCCTTCAAGAGTATGGCGATGGGATGGTGGAGACAGGTGGGGGGATTAGCAGGGGTGGGCAGGGAGGGCCTCTCCTAGGAAGTGATGCTGGAACAGGCACGATGGAGAGAAAGCAGAGCAGCACCATCGGGGTTGACTCCTGGGGCTCGGAGAGGAGTCGGTCCGTCGGGGTCTGTGCCCACAGAGACATGAGGCTGAGCTGGGTCCAGGTCCTGACAGTACTGTCCAACTGCCTGAGTGCCGTGGCCATTGTCACGGGGGCTGAGGGCAAAAGGAAGCTGCAGGTCGGGGTCAAGAAACGGGTGGACCACTGTCCCATCAAATCTCCTAAACGGGATGTCCTGCACATGCACTACACGGGGAAGCTGGAAGATGGGATGGAGTGTGACAGCAGCCTGCCCCAGAACCAGCCCTTTGTCTTCTCCCTTGGCACAGTCCAGGTCATCAAGGGCTGGGACCAGGGGCTGCTGGGGATGTGTGAGGCAGAAAAGTGCAAGCTGGTGATCCCATCCGAGCTGGGGTATGGAGAGCAGGGACCTCCCCCAAAGATTCCAGGTGGTGCAACCCTGGTGTTCGAGGTGGAGCTTCTCAAAATCGAGCGACGATCGGAGCTGTAGCCAGACTGGGGAGGGGCAGGGGGAGAGGCCCCCATCCAGGGACCAGACTGTTATTTAAAAAAAAAAAAAAAAAAAAAAAAAAGCTGAAACCCCCCCCCCCCCCCCAAAAAAAGAGAAAGAGCAAGCAAAAACCAAAGAAACAAGAGGCCCTGTCCACAAGGGCAGCAAGCTCAAAGGCCTGAGGGCTCAGGAGGGATCTGGGTTGCGTGCTCCTTATGAGAATCTAATGCCTGATGAGCGGTCACTGTCTCCCGTCAGCCCCAGATGGGACCATGTAGTTGCAGGAAAAAAGCTCAGGGCTCCCATTTATTCTACATTATGGTAAGTTGTATAATTATTTCATAATATATTGCAGTGAAATAATAACAGAAATAAAGCACGGAATAAATGTAATGGGCTTGAACCATCTCCACATCATGCTTTCTCCTTCTCCTGGGTCCGTGGAATAGTTGTCTTCAAGAAAAGTGTCCTGCGGGTTGCTTCTAAATGGAGAGCATTTTGGCAAATCGTGTCAAACCAAGCAGAAAGAAGGGCAAGGATGCTTGTCAACCAAGCAGCAAGAAGGGTGAGGAGCCCGGTTTCCTGACCTCACCCTCGGAGGACATGGCCAGGACTCCACAAAGCCCTGCAGGGGCGGCTTGGGAACACATCCACCATCCTGTTGAGTAAGCAGCCACCAACCCAGGAAGCAGCAGAGGGGGGCACACTGGCAGAGCCCGCATGCTGCAGAGCAGGGCCAGCAGATCTGCACTCAGCCTCAGCCCCAGGGGAGCTGCAAGACAGACTGAGACCCTCATAGGTTTGGCTCTGTGTCCCCACCAAATCTCATCTGGAATTGTAATCCTCCTGTGTCAAGGGAGGAAGCTGGTGGGAGGGGATTGGATTTGGGGACAGTGTCCCC